TAGCAGTTTTTAGCACTTGGGAGCGGCCATGTTTACCATGCGGGAAAGTCGCATTTCTATCGCGGTCTGTGTACCCATGGCAAGAGTAGGGGGCGTTGGGAGACCATCGTCCGGGGGAACGTAGTTCCTTGAGATCCTGTCTTCGCCTTGGCCTTTCTGATAAGTGTTGCCGTTGTACATCCACCGTGATAGCAATGGTTTTTGTGTTGGATAGGGTTTTCTTTGGAGGGGTTTTGCCCGGGGGCCGGGTTTCCCCTCCACCACCGTATGGTTTTTTATTGATGTATCCGGGGTGTTTTTGCCCCACTGATGGTTAGTCACTCGCGTGAAGAACCAGGAAGGGTGTTCGTGGGTCTACGGACATGGTGGATACATTACCCGTACGTACAAGTGTGACGCAGATGGTGTAGAAACTTTAAGGTAGGGGTACGGTGATGAAGCACCGGGACCCCCATTGTTGAGTGCAGCAGCCGTGCTGCTACTCTCTCTCTCTCTCTCTCTCCTCCTCCTTTCCGAGCACGACAGCGTCCTGGGTACGGGCGTTGTCTCACCGTCTGAAGTTAATACACTACACAAACAAGTCCCGATAAGTACGCGGAGTACGGCCGACAGTCATTTCGTGTGTAACTCGACTCGGGGGGAAAGATGAAAACCAGGAGCATTGGTGGCAACTGGTACACACTGATAATCAGAGACGATTTCTCCCGTTGGACGCGTGTTTTCTTCTTGAAACACAACAAGTCTGACACAGCGGTTGGGTTTGACAAGTTCCTGGCGGACTACCGAACGTAAGGGGTTCCGTGTGAAGATTATGTCGCACGTACCGACGGTGGCGGCGAGTTCCAGGGGCAGTTTGCGGAAGTTTGCCGCAGACACGGCATCAAACAAGAGTTCACCCCCCCTCACCCCCCAAAATACAACGGTGTAGCGGAGAGAGCGCTAGGGTTGATCACTGATGCCGCGCTTGCGTCACGCATCCAAGCGACGCAACTGTTCCCCGACGCACCGAACCACCCCGGGTTGTGGGCCGAGGCCATTTCGTGTGCATGCCATCAGCTGAACTGCACCGCCACTAAATCAAACGAGGGAGACAAATCCGCCTACGAGATGTTCCACGACTCCCCACCGCCTGTCGGGTCTACATACCCGTTTCTCAAACCAGCCGTGTTCAAGTTGAGAAGAAAAGCAAGGTCGCAACCCAAGGGCGAAAAAGGATGGTACCTTGGTCCTGCCCACAGTCACCCCCGTGACGGCGTTCGCATGCTAACCAAAGCTGGAACCGTAATCACCACCCGCAATTTCACCTGGCGCCACGTGCCCGCTGCATCGCCCGCTCCCCCGCAGCTGCTACCTCTCGCAGATGACGATGAGGGCGGGAAGGGCGAGAGCAGAGCGGATGCATCACGCCAAGGTTGGGGGGGGGAGATAGACTCAGAGAGTGAGTCCGACCTCGACGTGATGGAGGCTCGTGGGCCAGGGCAAGCGACGCCGTTTGCGCGCGAGTAGGCGCCGACGGCACCCGGCAACGGGATTCCGGGGGACGGAGGCAGCGTTCTCCCGTCGCCCCCTTCGGGAAGGGGCGACTTCGGCGGAGGCAGTGACAGCCCCACCGACAGCAGCAGCAGCAGCAGCAGCAGCAGCAGCAGCAGCAGCAGCAGCAGCCCGAGCAGCAGCAGCAGTGACGTCGGCGGTGCCGGCGGCCCGGGCGGCGAAGAGTCCGGCGACCCAGGTGGGGACGGCGGTAGCGATGGTGATCCGGCGACTCCGAGAACCTCGAGGGGTTGGAGTATGATCCAGTCAACGACCGCTACCCCCGCGGGATATAAGGGAAGAAACTCCTCTGGGGCGCCTCGAACGCTGGCCCGCTGCGCCACGGGCTTGAGAGTGGCCGCATGCGGAAGCAGACCCGGGAGATGCAAGGTGCCGGCGAGATGCCGGGGCCCGGAGAAACACCGGACCCGGAAGAGGCATTGCTGGCAACCATCCTGGAAACTGGCGGGACGGGGATTGTTGAGGACTACATCTGCAACTCGCTTGTAAAGGAGCAGTGGGACGAGGAGCAGACACGCCGTATGGAGGGGATGTACAGGCGCGAGATGCAGGAGGTGTTGGGCCCGAAACAGCATGCGCTCGGGGCCGAGGTCGACGCCAGCGGGTCTTCGCAACCACTCCCAGACCCACAGCTNCTAGACGACCCAACCGGGGTCACATAGGAGGGGGGGGTTGGACCCCCTCCTGCGGTTCATGCCTGAGGTATTTTTATCGCGAGAAGGGTACAGCAATCCCTTCCCTCGCGACTTACGAAGTCGATTATGGTTTACTAACAAACGAGCTTTGCAGCGCATCGCTTTCATCCTAGACCAGGATTTATTTAGTGAGAAAAAAACTCTCTCTGTCGGGACTCGAACCCATGACCTGGCCCTTAGCAGGCTGCGAGGCTACCCACTAGACCACCGGGGCGACCGATGTAAGTATGACCTCGCCAATCGGGCAGAAATCGAATGATTTGGAAGCAGCACCGATGACGTACAAGGATGTGATGTGTTCCAAGTGCAAGGTTTTCTGGGAGGCGGCCATGAAGAAAGAGATAGATGGCCACAAGACCGGAACCTTTACCAAGGTCAAGGAGCTGCCCGAGGGGCGGAAGGCCATAGGTTCAAAGTGGGTGTTCTCTTGGAAGGCGAATGAGAAGGGCCTGATAGTCGACTTCAAGACCCGTATGGTTGCGCGGGGTTTCTCTCGAATCCCCGGCATCGACTTCCACCACTCATCCTCAGCGTGCCCGTCTGCAGCGTCTATCAAGACTGTGATTGCCGTAGCCACTCAAGAGGGCAAGGAACTTGCTCGCTGGGATGTGAAGCAAGCGTACATCCACGCTAAGCTAAAAGAAGAAATATACCTCAGGTTCCCGGAAGGCTGTGGTAGCATGTCCGGCAAGGTGGTCAAGCTTGAGCGTGCCCTGTATGGCCTAAAGCAGAGTGACCGTGGGTGAAGGTTTGAAGCTGCCGATGCCCTCATCGAGAATGGATACGAGCAGTGCAGGGTTGACCGTGTGTCTTCCGGAAGGGGTGGATCGACAGGTCGTAGGTCTCATCGTGATCTACGTCGATGACATCTTAGTGGCGGCAGACAAGGGAGAGCGAGAGGAGTTGTCCGCTTCCCTCAAGAAGAAGTTTCCGGTGAAAGATCTGGGGGAGTGTACCTGGTACGACGGGTGTGCTATCGCCATGGATGTAGAAAATGGCATCACCAATCTGTCCCAGACAACATACAATGAGAGTATGCTGAAGCGGTTTGATGTGACCACGACCGCTTTCACCCCTGCTGCCACCGATGCCGACCTAGGGCCGAACAGAGATGACGAGCCCGCGGTCGATGAGCCTGTGAGAGAGGCGATCGGATGCCTGATGTGGATGAAGCTGACGAGGCCAGACATCGCCCTGCCTCTGAACAAGCTCCAGAAGATCGCCCACTCACCCACCGGGAGGATATGGAACGCGCTTGTGCGGATCGTGTCCTACCTGAACTTCACGAAGGACTTCGGCATCACCTACGTACGGGGGTCAGGACTAGACCTAAGCGAGTTTGCCTACGCTGACAACGAATTAGACAGGCGTTCTACGACCGGGCTAGCTGTGACCGTAGGTGGTACCGTAGTGTGTGCATCCACCAAGACGCACCCAGTGACGACTCAGTCGACCTCGGAAGCAAAGTATATGGCAACCGGGGAGGGCGTGAAGGAGGCGTTGTTTGTGCGTGGCGTTCTGTCGTTCATAGCGCCCGAGACGAGTGGGGCGACGATCAAGGTCCTTGAGGACAGCAAGGAGGCTCTCGCCTTGATCGAGAACCCGTTCAGCTCAGCGAGGAGCAAGCACATCGACGTGCGGTTCCATTTCATTCGCGAGCTATTCAAGTCTGGCAAGACCACTGCAGAGTATGTTCCGACTGGAGAGCAGCACGCCGACATGCTAACCAAGGTTCTTGGCAGAGAGAAGTTAGAGTACCACCGGAAGGCTCTGATGGACCTACCGATGTAGTGTTCCCTTGTTCTGTTTGGTTTATGTGGTGGTTTTAGCACTTGGCATATATGACCATGGTACGTCACGCAGGAAGCGTTGTGCCGGTGCGTCACCCGCGGCTGGAGCCTAGAAACGCAGAGAGCGTTGCTTCGGGTGTGTAATCAGCGTGACCGGTTCAATCTGTCCTGCCTTGGTCTTGTCTTGGAAGTGGGGCCGTTGGAATCCTCCGTGATAGCGACGGTTTCTATATTTAGGGTGTTAGACGAGGGTTTGTGATCCGGTTGGTCGGGTTTTTCCTCGAGCCTGTTGTTGTTTTGAGTCCCTTTGGTAGATCAGGGGTATCCATGCCCCAGGTTAGGTTTGCCATTCGCGTGCAAACCGGGGAGGGTGTTCGTGTGTTTGGATACAGACTGGGTAGATCTACCGGCAACAACAGAGGGCACGCAGATGGGGCATATGTACCTTGAAATGGTTGCATGTGCGGGAACCCCTCGAACTCCAAAGAGGGCTTCACATCTTCCTACTCCCCTTGCGTGTCTAATACAAGAGATAGAACGTCTTCCCCTTCCAAGTAAAGGACATATAAGAACGGTTGTTTTATTGTTCGAACCCCGAAATTCCGGTACACGGGTCAATACCCCGGAGACCCTCAGAACCTGCTGTGTTTGCTGCTTGTTTTTTGTTTTGTTGTTGAGCTGAGACACAAGCGCGCCTTCGCCCCCTGTGCTCACTCTCATCTAGCACCCATCAAAGCCTGACCACGGAGTCAGTTGATAAGAACATCTATTTTATCTACGTTTCTCTTTTCGAAGCTCGCTCGGGCCTACCGCTCTCACAGCAGTGTAACCTCTGTGATAGACTACAAAGTCTACGAGCTACAGCNGGGGGGGGGGTAGACGTTCACTTTTGTCTTAAGGATGTTCTTTGTGGTGTCAACTGATATGTTGTGTAGATATTTTGTGTGCGCGTTGATCTGCTGCTGTAGCTATACTGGACGGTACAGTAGACCAAACCTTTTTCGACATGTATGGGCGCACCAACCAGGGTCTACATGTACTCCTCGGTTCTTCTGAAGTGCTGCCCTTGAGTTTTTATCTCGAAAGGATCCAAACGTCCCCATGGTTTGCCGAACATGGAGTAGATATTGTCCAAGCGCGACACTGTCAAAGCTGTTGAATGTGGGTGATGTGGAAACTTCGGAGCAAGTGCTTTGGGTTCTACGGCCCAGCACGCCATCATCATGTCAGGCATGTGTTTCGGAGTATCAATTACGCTGTCCTTTGAATGCCAGTGTGGAACGTTTTCGTTTTGGATGTGTTGCCGTAACTTGTTCGTTGAATATTCCACCCTTGGTTTGCCCTCGGCGATTTCAAATTAGTTGGTAGCGGCGGTATACTTTCTACAGCAGTCCCGTCTCTGACCGATCGGGTCTTTACGCCGATGGTCTTCTTGCGACGAATGATATCACGATCGGCACTTCTGGCCTCAACTCTTGAGAAAACTTCTCCCCCAACACGAACAATTCGATTCAATCGACATAGACTAGAGGTTGTGCGGAAGTTTTCACCTGTGGTTACTGCGTCAAACGCATGTCGGTGGTGAGTACTAAGCACACAGAGATGTGTGGATACGGTCCAAGTGTGTAAGAACCGTTGGATTTCATGGAAGGCGACCAAACACATCTCATGGGGCCGCGTATTTATCTCCAGCGCCGAAGAGCGAGAGAGAGAGAGCTTCGGGGAGAAGTACACGAAAGGAGCGGGCAAAGGAACGAATCAGGCGGATGGTCCACACCTTCAATCAAGTCTTAACCCTGCGCCCCCATGGGATTTACTCTGTACCCTCCAGCTCACATGTACAATAGAAAGCAAACCCATTGCCAATTGCCAATAGAATCTTCCCCTGTCGACGACAGCTGATCGCCTTCTGTCATTGTGGTCGCTGTTGATATGAATTGGGCATACGCTCCAGCCCAGCCAGGAAAGACGGGGTGGGGGTCGAGAGGTACGCGAGGGTCGTGCGCTGCTGCCCAACGAAGGAAGTTGGTAGATCGTTGATATCATGGAGGAGTGTCTTTCGACACCTATTTACATGTATTCGAGGCCGATAAGGGTCGGACCAAACGCCGCCATTTCCGGCACCGTCACTGTTTTCCTTGCAGACTATTCCGGCTTGTGGCGTAGAGCTCCATCCACACGTAGCGCTGGCAGGTAAGTGATCTGCTTTCGTATGCACAGTTGCCCTAGCTCTCATTGGCAGTCCGTCGTCCTCTCTCTGTCTCTGTCTCTGTCTCTGTCTCTGTCTCTGTCTCTGTCTCTGTCTCTGTCT